TTTTTTTTTTTTTTTTTTTATTTTTCTTTTTTTTTTTTTTTTTTTTTTTTTTTTTTTTTTCACCTTCCCTCTTTTCTTCCCTATGTATATGTGCACACACATCCACTAAAGAGGGCAAATTGAAGTTCATATTCATGTAGAGGACAAAAATTTACAGCCGTCGGGACATGAAGTAATCTGCACAAGACACAAACGATGACACAACAAATTAGGAAAAAGATCCTGGAAAGCAATGCTCACAGCCTTAGTCCACTTAGTGTTCCCGTGTTTCAGCTCTATCTTGCTGTGAATACCAAGGTGAAGACAATGTTTTTCTGGGGGTGTTGGGGGCAGAGCTCCCTATGTACCCTCTCCTTTTGGAGTAACCGAAGGACATACCCTGTCACGGCAACTTAGATTGTTGCATTAATTTTGTGATGTGGGGTTTGAGAGCACCCATATTTTAAAGAATTAACTAATTCATAAAATACACATAAAAAGAACAGACAATTACATTTTAAAAATAATCCTTTTCACACAAACATCATAATAAATACATATACATATATATACATACATACATGTACATATATATACATACATGTACATATATATACATACATATACATATATGTACATACATACATATAAATATGTATAATACATACATACATAAATATACACATATATAAATGTATAATATATACATATATATACATACATATTTATATAATATCTATCTATCTATGCAGGGTAAATGCCACACTGTTCACATGTTACCCTGCAGTTTAGACCTTTGGGCATTTTAGCAATGTAGAGTGAAAAATACAGCACATACCAACTCAAAATAAAAACTGAAAAGAATGCTGAAGTAAACAAAATATATTTATAACAAACACCCCGACTTTGAGTGAACATCTAATGATGCAATCACATTCAAACCTCAACCACATATATTTTGATAAGACACAAAACGACAGTTATAACCCCTTCCACTGCAATAATAAACATAAATCTGTTTAGGGACACAACCTCGTCAAAAAAAGCTGCAAAAGTTAGTGCTAAGTGAGGAAAATGCACTAAGACTGAAATAAAACCATCCAGAAATGCTTAGGAATACACAAACATAAACAATTATTGTTGCACAACACTTTGGCAACCACCTTAAGGATTTTAAGCTGTCAACACCCCAGAAGTCTACATAAAGTCACAATTACACAACAAGAGGTCCTTTCCAAATACTCGATAGGCCTACAAACAAAACAAACCGATACAAAAGACACACCATAAACACAACAGAACGAAAACTACGAAAAACAAAAATTCCTCCACCAAACTCCATGAATAGTTCCTCTTTATCTCAACCTCCCTGATCCCCAACAACCCAACCATTCCCCCCCAAAATCCCCACAGAACCATGCAATCCCTCGTATTTCCCCCGATTTTCCCTCCTCCCCGCCAAAAAAAAACAAATCCCGGGACTTGCCAAGGGAACCGCCCGGACATAACCTCGATACCAACAACCCTTCTTCTCCTCTATAAAAAAATAAAAAATAAAAACAGCCCTTTAGCAACGCACCTTCGAGGCGAGATCCTTGGCCTCTTGTTCCTCCGCGGCCTTAGCCCAGTCGTCACTCATGTCGTCGAGGGAAAAGGAGAGGAATATCAGCGAGAACTAGTGATGGTCTTTCTCCTCGAGACACAACACGCAGGACGCAGGCGGACAGTGTTGCCAGATCACGCTCGTCGAACGCAGCACCCATTTTCCCTAAGAGTTGCAAATTACCAGAGGAAGTAGCAAATTACCTGAAAAAGTAGCAAATCCACAAAGAAGGTAGCAAATGCTCGGAGAAAGTAATCCAAATCTTGTTTACATAGGCTCATAAACACGTGTGTCTATACTTAAATAGATTAAAGATTACGTAATTATACGTTCATAATTATTCTATTTGCTTAAACCATGAGGCTAGAGATCATAACTGATGATAGATGATTTTCATAGATGAACCGCAATGATTTTGATAAGTTTTCCTCATCCTCATAATTTTTTTTTCATTTTATATATGGATAAACAATAATGCAGCATGAACACGAGACTTAAATGTCCTGCAGCAGATGCATTTTGATTCCTGGGCGGCGGAATACCATACGCGTACGAGTATTATATTACACGGCATCAAGAGGCTCACAAAGAGACAGACCAAATAAATGGCATATGCATATAAATGCTTCACACTTACATATCATTAAAATACAAATAAGAATAAGAATATATATATACATACATACATACATACGTATATATGTATATGTATAACAAAGATATTCATAGGTAGATAAAAATTCATATATTACCCCAACCCCATTACAGAGCAGCCCAAATAGTCGCAAGTCGAAAAGTTGAAAATTGAGTAGCAGAAAGTAGCCCAATTTGGGATAAGTAGCCCAATCTGGCACCACTGCAGGCGACGGGGGCGCTCGGCAGCCGAATTATTTCAGGGTTACGCAGTTGCGAGACCCGTCATGTTAGCATTATTCAGATGATTATTTGGATGTTAATTCAATCTAATACAATATAGAGATATTAAAATGTTATTTTTATGCTACTATTAGTGTCCGATAAGTGACATGAGCCTGTCATATGTAGGCCAAAGTGCGGATAAATAAATAGGAAATAAGAGTACTTTGCATGGTGGCTCAATCCTATTCCGATCAAAGGCTGCTTTGATTCTGATAGTAATGTCAAACAAGCATCAGAGACTGAATCTTAATAAAATATTTACCCAATCTAATGAACATATGCTGAGATATCTAATTTTTGTATTTATCAACTGGTAATTAAAAATTCTCTCTCTCTCTCTCTCTCTCTCTCTCTCTCTCTCTCTCTCTCTCTCTCTCTCTCACTCTCTCTCTCTCTCTCTCTCTCTCTCTCTCTCTCTATATATATATATATATATATATATATATATATATATATATATATATATATATATTCCTCTCTCTCTCTATCTCTCTCTCTCTCTCTCTCTCTCTCTCTCTCTCTCTCTCTCTCTCTCTCTCTCTCTCTCTCTCTCTCTCTCTCTCTCTCTCTCTCTCTCTCCCTCTCTTTCTCTCTGATAATAATTGTAATAATGATAGTAATACCAAAAACAATGATGATGATGATGATGATGATGATAATAATGATAATGATGGTAGCAATGATGATATAACAGTAATAATAATGATAATAATAATAATAATAATAATAATAATAATAATAATAATAATAATAATGATAATAATAAAGACAGTAATAATGATAATAGTAACAATACTGATGATAATAATGATAACAACAATAGTAATAATAATGACAATACTAATGATAAAAATAATAATGATGATAATAAAAATTATAATAATAATAATAAAGTAAAACATATAATGATTACAATAATAATTACAATAATAAAGATAATGATAAGAATAACAATAAAAGTATAAATAGTAAATATAGTAATGATAATAAGACACCTATTAATAAGAAAATAACAACAGTAATGATGATACTACTAATTATGATAATAATAACATATTGATAATTAATTACCAGTAGTAATGATAAGGACAATATTTATAATAGTGATAATAATAATAATAATAATAATAATAATAATAATAGTAATAGCAGTAATAATAATAACAACAACAACAACAACAACAACAACAATAATAATAATAATGATAATAATAAAAACAATGATAATGTTAGTAATGATAAAAGTAATATTAGCAATAAAAATAACAATGATAATAATGACAATAATAATAATAACAATAATAGTAATAACAATATACTAATAATGAATTAATAATAGTAATGATAAAAGGAATAATGATAATAGTGATAATAATAACAATGATAATAATAATAATAATAATGATAATAATAATAATAATAATAACAACAATAATAGTAATAAAAAAAATAATAATAACAACAACAATTAAAACAATGATAATGTTAGTAATGATAAAAGTAGTATTAGCAATAATAATAACAATAATAATAACAATAATAATAATAATAATAATAATAATAATAATAATAGTAATAATAATAATAATAATAATAATAATAAAATAATGGTAATAATAATAATAACAATAATAATAATAACAATAGTAATAATAATAATAATAATAATAATATTGATAATAATGATTAGTAATAACAACAACAACAACAATAAAATGATAATATTTGGTAGTAATATAAATAACAGCAGTAACAATAACAATAACAATGATAATGATAATGATGATAATTACGATGGTGATGATAGTGATAATGATAATAATAATAATAGTAATAACAATAACAACTATAATAATAATAATAATTACAATAATGAAGAGGAGGAGGTTAACAGTAATAGCAATAACAATAACGATAATAATAATGATAACAAAAATAATGATAATAATAATAATAAAATAATAATGATAACAATAATAATAAAATAATAATGATGATTATAATACTATTAATGATAATGATAATAATGATGACAACAACAATACTAGTAATATATAATAATAATAATAATGATAATAATAATAATGATGACAATAACAATCATAACAACAACAATGATAATAACAATAATAATAAAAGTAGAGATAATAGTAATAACAACAAGAACAAGATCAAGAACAACAATAACAATAATACTAACAATCGAGGAAAAAAAACACTTAAAAATTAAAAAATTCTTATTCACGTGGATCCACTAGAACATCATCTGTTTTAACTTCCATACCTTCAATAATAATAATGGTTTTCTCTCTGTCTCTGTTTCTCTGTATCTCTCCCTCCCTGTCTCTCTCATTATCTTTTTTTCTTATTTCTATTGTGTTCCTTGCCTCTTCTTATGTGTGTGCTGTCCCTGTTAATTTGAAGATCTTGTTTTCAGAGAGATGGTGTTTAGTATAAACCCGTGATCCTTCCTATCCACTGGTCATCCTTTTGTAGTAATATAATCCTTCCTTTTAGAATATAATCCTTCTTAAATTCCTAATAAATCCCTTCACAAAGGGGTCGACCATGTTCTTCATAATTTTCACGAGAGTACAGAGCGGTCATAAGCTCTGGTGTACGTTTTTTTCCCTAACATATAAACCTTTCCCGGGTATAATTAAGAATATAAATTATTTATTGTTTTCACATAGCGCTGTAGAGACCAAGACAGGAAGATATGCGACACATGAGATTTTTTTTTATTCTACATACAAAGACACTTGAATACATTTATGTTTTAGAAATAATGAAACCCCCTGGACAAAGACAGGACATCCTTTATTCAATATAAGTGTCCATGCAAGGTGTCTTACAGTGGTTGTCTGCTAGAACACTAGTTTAACAATATACAAACAAACAACACAATAAAACATAGCTTAGGAAACCTTAGAATTATATTAAAATTAAATCATCTACTACCCTAATATGTCTCAATGTCTTCTTTTATGTCAATAATAATTAATCAGATAAAAATAATAACAGAAAAGGGCTATATAACTCATATGTCTGGCACAAGGCATTGAACAAACCTGTACCGACCCTGTAAATTCCCTCCATTGGCTGATTACCCGCTAAACGCCTTTGTTTTTATATATATAGATATCTTCAGTTATAACCCCCTATATTCTATGCGTGACCCTTCGAGTTTAGACTCTTAGACATCCTGTGGCAGAGGTCATCATTTTTTTCATTTTGCTTAGGAGAAGAGTACTTTTTGTTTACTTGTGAAAATGAAAAGACAAAAGAAGGGTGACCTCTAAATCAGCTGTTAGAAAATGGGCGTATACGTCTGAAAGGACCCGGATGTAGCTTTCTCGTCTCCAGACAAGCTACTCGCCGCCAACCATAGCATCAAGTTTTTGATTAGATTAATTGCTCAACTACTAGCTCAAGACAATAGTAATAAAGGGCATATATAGTCATCGGGCTGTGCGAGTTAGACTTGCCTGATGGTTCTACTAATTCTGGTACAAGGAGCAATGTCTAGGCTCTACGATGCATACTGCATGGCATCAAGTATGCTCACAACGATATAAAAACCTTTACCGATAAATAACCGAATATAGAGATTTAACAATTTGTTCGTTTTGTTGTTAGGGAGCTTAAGTTTGGCGCCAAATTCCCTGCCCATTTTCTATATGAACGCGCCCCCCTTCACGCTTTTGAAAATCGTCATCACAGACACCGTTGTCAGCACGATAATTAGTTGTTTATCCTCAAAGACGATGAAGAAATAAGAACTGCTAGGTCATGGTAGGTGATTCTTCGGAATTGTACTTTTAACTTGGATCTTTGTCGTTTGTGACATGTCTAATGTACGAAAGCTTCTTAAATTACCTGATTATTCCTATTGAGAATCCCTTGTTAAACTATACGAGACTTAAGGTCGGTCACTCTAATTATTTCGCAATTCAAAGTTTCCACATCTGAGAATCTTTAACTTCACAACCTATTTTATACCCGTACCCGTTCCGTTGAGCTGCAGATGATGCTTTTCCAACGCTGCAACACTGCTTCTTCACTCTGCATCTGCACCGAAATTTACCGAGTATGATATGTGAATATTAATCGACATAACTGGCAACAAAGGAATGGAATTAATATTTAAAAATACATTGTTGCTCTCGAAATTTCAAAATAAAAACTTTTAT